TCTGCAAAGCTTTAGTTTTTGTACAAAACAGATCAAAGAACTTGGCAGGCTCACTACATCACCCCACTCAGGGGTTCAGACATAAATCAAGGCTAAGCATAATCAAAATAGAGCTCCCTCTACGTGCTCCCCTCTACGTGCTCAAGATGTTGGCAAGGACTTTTAGTTTTGTTTTGTCTCGCACCATTAACCACATTCTACCGTGGGGGACTAGTTTTCAGGGTCCTGGGTCTAGCTTTTTATTTATATAATTTTTTATTTTTTGCTCCATATCCCCTAATAGTTTTCTCGTTTTCTCATGATAGTTCCTATACCAATATATTAAAGCTGGTCTCATGTTTTTAATAATTTTCTTTCTTTCCTTCTTACTATAAAGACACCAGGGCTTTTGGGATCTAGCTAATCTTTTCATAAAGGGGAATTTTTTTAACTCTCTTTTTTTTTTTTCTAAATCTGATTTACTATGACGATTTCCTCGTAACATTTCAACTTTAGCCGCTTCTGTTTCATAATTAATAAAGTTTCCCAGGCTCATGTGGCGTGGGGCATACTTAAGTTTCTCAAGGACTGCTTTAATGAACAGTGGAGCCGAGCCAAGGACGTACTTTGATCTCTTGGTAAGCGGTCAGTTGCAAACAGGAAAATTAAGAAATACAGAGAAAGATCAGGCAAGGTGTTAGGAGGGCTCGCTCTCAGGGCCATCTCCAGATATGAAATCTGCCTACGGCATCAGGTCCTATCTTGACCACTGATTGCCAGGGGACTACCTGGGGCTTCGCTCCAAGAAGCTCTAACCCCAATCCTTCAGCAGGCAAAGACCAGCGCAGAGGCATTTTGTCACTACACGGCAGTCACTGCTGTGGACGTGGCAGTAGCTCAGGCTAGACATTGTGTATCAGAGGATGTAGCTCAGGGTAGACTGTGAATTCTTTTTTTTTTTTCAAAGTTCACTACAAAAGTGCTTCCTTTGGATGTCCTAATAATAAAGACTTTATTTGCCAGTTTTCACCTGTCTCATCGCTGGAAGACATTCACAAAGTGTAGATGGTGCACGGCCCCAACAACATGTATTTACATGGGGGAAAGTATCTTAAAACAACTTGTCAACCCATGTCTTGGGTTATTCATTCCATAAGCAACTTGAGAGAGGGTGGCCGTGATGTAGGTTCTGGCTTCCGGTGGGGGCCACCTCCAGCAGTCATCTTAACTTTATCCACCTTAGAAATATAGACTGTGAATTCTTGATCCCCTTCTTTCATCTCTGGAGAGCTGGGGTAAGGGTTGTGCCCCTTTCCCATATCTGACTCACACTCCAATTTCATCAACCATGAGCCTCCAGGTTTGTGACTGCATCTTTCCAGATCAGGAGGGCAGGCTGACTCTGACTAATTGCTGGGGCCAGGGATGCACCACCCCAGAAGAACAGGTTCCAAATGACTGCCAGATGCCTCTTCCTGCCCCTTGGTTTCTTATTCCCTCCTCTACCCTGTGTTCTTGCCACCCAGTGAGTGCTTCATGAGTTCTCATCATAGACCAATCCCTTTGCCTGGAATGCTTCCCACTGCACCCTCCTGGCAAACTCCGATTTCTCCCTTAGGATCTGGCTGAGGCTGCTTCCTCACCACAGTCACCTCTGATGCCGTGGCTGTCAACCTGACAGGAACTAGTGTCACCTAGGAGACAAACTTCTGGGAACATCTGTGAGGGAGGTTCCATGTTGAGTTAATAGAGATGAGAAGGCCTACTATTATGTTGTTGTTGTTTTTCAAGACTGGGTTTCTCTATGGGACAGTCCTGGCTGTTCTGGAACTTACTTTGTAGATCCACCTGCCCCTGCCTCCCAAGTGCTGGAATTAAAGGTGTGCACCACCCCCCAGCTGAGAAGGCCTACTCTAACTGCAGGTGACACAGTCCACACAGAGCAGAAGGGAGGAAGTGAGCCAAGCACCAGAATCCACTGCTCCCTGACTATGGACACTAAGTGACCGGCCACCTCCCCATCCTGTCACTGTGCCTTCTTCACTATGATGGATGGTTCCCTGGCTGATGAGAAGGCTGCAAGATGAAATAAATCCTTTTCTCCCCAAGGCACTCTTCTCTGTATTGCCCTGGATGGCCTGAAACTCACTCTGTAGACCAGGCTGGCCTGGAACTCACAGAGATCCACCTGCTGCTGCTTCCCAAGTGCTGGGGTTAAAGGCGTGTGCCACCACTGCCCAGTTTATCTTTAAAATTTGAGACAGGGTCCCACTAAATTACTCATGCTGGCCTTGAATTCAAGATCCCCAGCGACTGGGGCTATGGGTTCCTGGCACCTCGTCTGACTCAACCCTGCCATTTAATGCGTCGCTTAAAATGCAACAGTTGACATGAGAAGGCAGGACTTGAACTCGCCCCTCTGCTCAGTTACTTGTCCCTAAATAGACAATTTTAAGAAAGGGGTGGGCTTGGTTGTTCCCTCTGCATCCCCCTCTGGCCCTTTCCCCAAAAGAAAAATTCTTCATTTTTTAAAAACCTTTTATTGCAAATAATATACATGTGGGAAGAGGAGAAGAGACAGGTGTGAAGGCGTGACTCTGTCATCCTGGCGTCTGGCAGGTCCAGGTGGGAGGATCAGGAATTCAGGGTCATTCTAGGCTACACAATGAGTTTGGGACCAGCCTGGGCTACATGAGCCCTTTTCCCAAAACAACAGCAGGAGGTTCAGTGAAAAGAGCAAAGCAGAACCAGTGAGTCCTCAGAGCCTGTACCTCAATGTCTAGACCTCCAGACACCTCATGTTCCTCTTCTGCTCACTTGTCCCCAAAGATAACCACTCTTCTGGCTTCTGATTGAGCACACTGTTATTTTCTTAACCAACGTCCATACTTTGTTTTGAATGGAGTCACATGACCTGTTCTTTCGTGTGTCTTTCCTGTTTTGCTCAACGCAATCTTTGTGAGATTCTTCCAAGGCCACTGCAGGTAACTGTCCACCGTCATTTCCATTGCTGGGCAGCCAGCCTTCCTTTCAGTGAGAGGTCATGGCCTTCTCATTCCTCATTTGGCTGTTGGTATTTATTTGTGTGGTTTGCAGTTTGTGGCCATGTGGACTAGTTTCTGTTGGGGTGGTGGACCCGAGAGTGGGACTGCTGGATTATAGTAAGGGTGTCAATTCTGTTTCAGAGATACTGAAAAGTAGGGTTTGTGTCTCTCTACCTCCCTCCCTTCCCCCTTTTCTCTTTCTTTCTTTTGAAACAGGGTCTCACTATGTAGTCTTGGCTGTCCTGGAACTCACTAGGTAGACAAGGTTGACCTCAAACTCAAAGATCCACCTGCATCTGCCTCCGAGTGCTGGGATTAAAGATGTGTGCCCACCACCGCCTGCCAGGGTCTCACAGTGTAGATCAAGGCTGGACCTAAACTTGTAGTGTAGTCCAGCTTGGCCTTAAAGCAGTGATCCTCCTGCCTCAGTCTCTTGGGTGCTGGGATTACCACCACCCTTGTGAGAAATGTGTTTTTAAGGTGAGTGGCATGGTTTGGCTGTGAGGTGTCACAAAAGAACCATGCATTGAAGCCAGGTTAGATTTTGAGGGGCCTCACTCAGTGCTCTGATTAGCTCCCAGATAAATGGGACTTCAGGAGGTGGGGGCAGTGGCAGTAAGGAAGGATAGATAGAGGGAGGGAAGTCTGTGACTGGAGAGGGGGAGGAGTGAGGTTCTTTTTTTGATGTCATTTTTAAGGGAACCCACACTTGGGGCTGGAGTGGTGAGAAGCAAAGCGATTCTGAAGGCGCTTTCTATGCGGGGAGCCTAAGGGACCCCCCCAGAGCGATGGCCAGTAGTGGAGCAACAAACAGCAAGATCAGGATTCTGGGAGCCTGGGGAGGGGCTGGGGACGCAACGCCGGGGACGGTCTGTGTCACCGAGTCCCCGTTGCAGAGGTGACCCTCGCAGCAGTAGCCCTGCAGGTCGATGGATGTCCAGGGGCTGGTGGTGCCCATGGTGGTGCAGGAAGGCCGGTGGCAGGTTCGGATGTACACGGGCACTGAGAAGTTGCCTGGATGGACAGGGAGAAGGGGTCAGGCCACCGGAGGGTCTCCCGTGAGCTCTGCCTTAGCAGGCAGGGTCAGGCCTGCGTCTTGTTAGGTCTTTCTGTAGACCAGAGCCATATCTCTCAGAGTGCAGACAAGCCTCCTCCCTCAGACCAGAGCCATGTCTCCTTCACAGCACAACAGACCTCCTACCTCAGTCTATAGACCTTTTCCTTAGACCAGAGCCGTGCCTCCTTCAGACAAGAGCAATACCTCCTCCCTCAGACCAAGGCCACAGAGAACTATGCCTCTCTGGTGTCTCTGCCTTCAGGTCTTCAGTGCCCCCACATCTCTATCCTAGGCCATCCCACCGTTCCAGCCCCTCACCAATGTTCATCCGGCCATTGCCCTGGAAACAGACGCTCTGGTCCTGGTGGCACTGGACCCGTCGGGACCTCTCAGGGGAACAGTCTTCGGGGCGGGTCCCCAAGCAGGCATAGCACTCGGTGCCACTGAGCGTCGGTGGGTCAGGTGCTTGTAGAAAACAGTAGATACGTTAGACCTGTAGTTAGATAGGTCGCTCCGGGCTGCAGTGATGGCTGCTTGCTGGATCTGCTCATGCCAAAGTGGAACCTGGCATCCCATTACCTTAGCAGCACTCAACGGAGGCCTCTCGCCACTCGAGTCCGCCCCCACCTCTTCAGCCCCAACCCCACCTCTCTAGCCCCGCCCCGCCCTCTCTCCCGCCCCACCTCCGGCCTCTCCAGTCCTGTCCCCATCTCTCCCACCCACCCCACCCACACATCTCCAGTCCCGCCCCGTCCCTCCAGCCCGGTCCTGTCTCCTTAGTCTCGCCTTGCCCCCTCCAACCCCCCACCCCTTCCGCACACCTTGACTCAGGTTGGGGAGGGTGTCGTGATTCTTGAGATGGGTGTTGCAGAAGTCCGTTGCGCAGCCACGGACCACGGCGTAGTCGGGCGGCAGCGCGTCCTGGTTGGACTGCATGGGGCCAGTGGTGGGGCCGGTCCAGCATCCTTTCCGGACGATTGTCACCAGGGAGCGGTACCCTAGGGCGAGCATCAGGCCTGGAGTGAATTCTCCCTCCTGCTTGTCTCCTTCTCTTAGTTTTGCCTCCTCCCTCCTTCCATTCTGCCTTCTGCTATCTTGTTTTACTTTTCTTTCTGCCCAGTGTCCATTTCATGTTTCCATCATCTCTGTCCTTCTTCATTTCATGTTCCTTATTTACCCTCTCCCTTTCTTCCCCCTCTCTCTTCTCCCCTCCCCTCCTTCTTCCCTCAGCTCTCTCAGTCTCTCTGTTGTTTTTTAAAGATTTTTATTAATTTTAGTTTATAAGTAGCACAATGCAGTGCTCACAGAGGCCAGAAGAGGGCGTTAGATCACCTGGAACTAGAGTTACAGTGGGTGTGAGCCACATCTAAGTGCTAGGAACCAAGCCTGGATCACCTAGAGGAGCCGCCAGTGCTCTTAGCCACCGAGTTGTCTTACCAGCCCTGTTTGGTTTCTTTGTTTTTCTGAGACAGGGTTTCAGATAGCCCCTGGATGGTCTAAGGTTTGCTACTAGCCAAGGATGACTTTGAACTTATGATCCTCCTGCCTCTGCCTTCCAAGGATTGCAAGTGTTTGGATTTGAGCCACCATGCCAATTTCTCTCTTTCCCTTTGATCAGGTCTTGCCATGTAGCCCAGGCTGGCCACAAAAACACAGTGCTCCTGCATCTACCTCCTGAGTGCCATGATCTCAGGCATGGACCACCATGCCCAGCCATCATTTTCTCACCCTCCATCCCTTCTCCTCCATTTTCTCTTCCTCTCTCTTCTCCCTCCCCTCTTTTGCTGCCCTCAGGTCCTCACCAGTATCCAGCAACAACATCGCCTCAGAGCACCCCTGAGGACAGGAGACACTGGGGAATGTCATGGCACTGAGGTCGAAGGGTCCGAAGTAGGTGTGCTCGAAGCTGTAGCACTGTAGGGCCTGGGAGCCTAAGAAAGGGATGGGGAGTGTTAGCAGATGGGGGGAACCTGTTGCAGGACCGAGGGCTCCAGATACACACCAGCTGCTGTGTCTCATGTCACCACGAGAAAGTAGTGTCATCACCAAGTGCCACCATGGTCCTCAAAGACCTCAGCCATTTGCATAAGGGGCGGAGGCGATTTCCTCCTGCTCTGCTCATCTCCCAACAGACGCCCCCAGCCCCCAAATCGTGTAGGTAGGAAGAGTGCAATCTCACATAGACACAGCCAGCAACACAAGTGAACTCTGGCCTAAGTGCTGACACGGGTCTGTGCAAGCCTCCTATTTAATAATGTGTGCAGAACAGCCTGGTTGCAGCCCATGTCCCCCAAGATCCCACAAGGATAGATACGACACCCTTAGACCCAACAAAGCCACTTAGAGGGGGAGCCACTCACTCACAGGCTCTGATGTCTGCATATTTCGCATGCGTTATAATGATAGAGGACTAGAGGACCAGAAGCTGAGAGAGGGGCCGCCAAGAAGGCTCGGCGGGTGAAAGTGCTTGCCGCCAAACCTGACCATCTGAGTTCCATCCCCAGGACCCACGTGACAGAAGGAGAGCATCCAGTGCAACTCCCACAAGTTGTCTTCTGCCCCCTGCCCACAAAGCTGGCATTTTTTTTAAAAAAGAAGGCTGAACATCGTGGGAGAGAAAGACCACAAGCACAAAAAAAGAGCACAAATATGTAGTTAGAAATGACACCATCTGCCAGGCGGTGGAGGCACAGGCCTTTAACCCCAGCATTCAGGAAGCTGAAGCAGGTGAATCTCTGAGTCTGAGACTCAGAGATTCCAGGATAGCCAGGGCTACACAGAGAAACAAACAGAAAGAAAGGAAGGAAGGGAGGGAGGGAAGAAGGGAGGGAGGGAGGGAGGGAGGGAGGGAGGGAGGAAGGAAGGAAGGAAGGAAGGAAGGAAGAAAGGAAGGAAGGACATCATTTGCTGGGAATCTGGCAGGTGGGGGTGTAAAGCTTGTCCTCAAGTGTGAGCGCCAGGGTTAGACCCCAGGTGTGGCAGTCCACCATCACCCTCGTGTGAGGGAGCAGAGAGGCGGTCCCCAGAACGAGCGAGCCAGCTGGACTCAATCAGAGGGGGTTCTGGGCTCATGACTTGGCAGAGAGTGATGGAGGAAGATGCCGGGAGCCAACCTCAGACCTCCACACACGTGCGCGCACATACTATACACATACACATTACAAAAAGAGTAAGGAAAAGAAATGACCCATCAAAGTGGTTTAAAATCATATATAGACACAGGATATTTAGAAACATGCAAACAAATACACAGAGAGTAACACATCCTAATATCCAAATACACACAGATATGGATATGTAAGCCACGGAAATAGCATAGGGACAGTGAACATGTGGGTGCAAAATTACATACCCATCTTTTTTCTTTTTCTTTTTTTTTTTCAAAGAAAGTGAAGGAGAAGAACTGGCCGTCAAAGAATTTTTGTTGTTGTTGTTGTTTTGAGACAATCTCATGTAGGCTGGCCCAGAACTCACAATTCAGTTGAGGCTGGCCAAACACTGGGATTACAGCCCTGCTACACCATGTGAAACATTTGAAATCTTAAAATTATTGCTGAGCATGGTGGCGCATGCCTTTAATCCTAGCACTCAGGAGGCAGAGACAGGTGGATTTCTATAAGTTTGAGGTCAGCCTGGTCTACATTGAGACAGTGAGAATCTGTCTCAAAATTTTTATATTGCATTTTGTTTACAGTGTTGTGGAGGGGAGCATGAGTTACCCCACCCCGTGCATGTGTGGAGGTCAGAGGACGAGTTTTAAGAGTCAATTCTCTTTTTACACTCTGGGTTCGAGGGACCAAACGCAATTGTCAGACTTGGTGGAAAGCACCTTTACCTACTGAGCCATTTTGCCAGCCACACAGTGCAATCACCTGCACACACACACACACACACACACACACACACACACACACACACTGCTACTCAGATGCTGAAATCTGGTACAGAGAAGCACAAGCAGGTGCTAACACAGCGACACATCAGAACCAAACTGTGTCCATGGTGAGCAAATGCACACAAATTAAGACTCACGCGAGGTTTGCTCAGTATCTAATTCTCCCCTCATGACCCACCCCTGCTCAAGTGAGTACGTCCCTATAGGAGAAGAGGGTCCAAAAAAGAGCTAAGGTCCTTGCCAGCTCCAGGGAGAGCCCGGATTGCTCCGCAGAAATTCCCTCAGTGCGAGGGTGGCAGGGAGAAGAAGGAAGACCCGTGTCAGGGGAGACGACAATGTGAGGGTGCAGAGGGGTGAGAAGGGGTGCACACATGGCCTCCACCATCCTGAGATTCGTGAGAATAAGCCTCTAGCCCTCCTTTCCCAGTCCCAGAGGTCCAAGTCCCAGCCCTCCTCCCTCAGACCCAGGGGTTCAGGCCCAGCCCTCCTCCCTCCTCCCTCAGACCCAGGGGTCCAAGTCCCAGCCCTCCTCCCTCCTCCTCAGACCCAGGGGTTCAGGTCCCAGCCTCCTCCCTCAGACCCAGGGGTCCAAGTCCCAGCCCTCCTCCCTCAGACCCAGGGAGAGTCCGAGTCCTGGCTCAGACCCTTCTTCCCACTGGACTCAGCGCAGGTGGGTACCTGTCAGGTAGAGCCCAATTCCGAGGAGGCCGAGCAGGAAGGTCCTGGGGATCTCCATGGCAGCCTGCGGTGCTGAGATACGACACCGAGGACAGCTCCTGCCACTCTGACCTGCTGTCGGGCTGGTTTTCCCTGCTGATCCCCAGGCATCCCGGCTACCAGCCTGGCCAGGATTCCAGATTCCTCCACCCCGCCCTTCCGCCCTGCTTCACGTGGGCTGCCTCCTTCTAGGTAATCATGATGGGGCTGCTGGAATAAGGGGTGGGGACTCGGGCTCCTGGGTGCTGAGGAAGATATTAGGGGACTGGAGCCTTGATTTTGGGGGGATGTGTATTTTGCCAGTCTGTTTGTATCCTCTCTGCGTTCTGCGCTGGTCTGCAGTTGGTCCCTGGATTCCTGCTCTTTCCCCACTCCTCCACTCTACCCCTCAACACCCACACAGACACAGGCTTGGAACGCCAGGATCGAATCTCCAGGCCAGACACCCAGCCATCCTCTCTCCCCCGAGGCTTCTCTGACCCTAACTCCTGACAGTGCCAGCATCCTCTCTCCCCCGAGGCTTCTCTGACCCTAA